TTATTTTAAAAATTAAACAAATGAGCTAAAATTTTATACTTATTTCTTACATATAGGACTTCTTTGATGCTGCCAAAAGCAACCAGTCCTTGTTTTCTAAAATAAATGAAGAAAAAATAGTTTTTTTCTTACATTTGTTAGGAATAGATACAAATGGACATGCTCATCGACCAGCATCAAGGTAATTTTAATGCTATGTTTCATTCAATTTTGTTTTTAGGGAAACATCTGTTCATTTGAACTTTTAAAGTATTATGTTTTGTTTGTAATTATAACAACAGAGCTAATATTTTAAATAACTACTTTAATGTATTATAAGTTCTTAGTCAGATGTAATATGATACAGTGGTTAAAACCACATGTACTGTAGCCAGACTGCACCTTAATATAATGAAATATATTCTGTACATATATTCCATATTCTTCATTTATCAAGGCAGAGAAAAATTATTTTACCTAAAATATCTCTATATATTAGATATATTTTCAGTAAATTTTGAAATAGAGCATTTTTATGGTGTTAATTTTTATATCACAAAAAAGATATAATTAGCATTCCTTGTGTATTCCATTTAATCAGTATTGTATCTAGCAAATAATTGTATAAAGTTTTATATACTATATTTCCGTAGCTCTCCTTATATATAACAGCAAATATTTTCCTCACTTTTGCAAACCACAAGAAAGAGGAGGAGACCATGTTATACTTTTATTCTTTATTTTGAATTTGGTTTAGATTAGCCTGATTGTAACTGAAAAACCTGTTGGCTTAGTTGCTGGTACCTAACCTTCTTCTTTAATATGATGCACTGTTTAACTGATGGAATATTCATATTAAACCAACCTTGTTCGACTGTATGGCAAGGTTAAATATAATTTGTTCAAAATTTGTTATATTATATATTTGTATTTTAGATGACAAACATTTGGTGGGATGAAAATATTTTATGCTTGAAACAGTGATACTTATCTATTAATGTGGCCAGGACAATGTAGTTTACAGTATGAGAAACGTGAACTTGAAA